AAGCTTCTGCAGCTGCTCCCAGAGTTCAGTCCTCTCACAATGCACGAAGGAATGAGGCGCCCAACACCAACTCTTCTGGTCAGCCAATGAAAGCTTCTAAGCCTCCTACTTCAGTGCAAGTGCCTGCATATGATGAGCAGGTACAAGTTATTGACCAAATAAAGTTCTTGCCATGTAATAGTACTGGATGTCTAATTGCTAATTCGTAATGCAGATTACTGAGCTTAAGTTGTCAGTGGACAGCCTTGAGAAGGAGAGGGACTTTTACTTCGCAAAGTTAAGAGACATTGAGATTCTGTGCCAAACCCCTGAGATCGAGAACCTAATTGTATTGTCTCTTTTCCATCTACCTTTGAGCGCATCTGAAGCTGAACATATTTACTTTCTAAACAGAAATTATATATTAGAAAAGAAAGAAAATCCGCTGGAGTACTCACTTTTCATCCGATTGTATGTTTGCCCTCAGGTTGTTGAAGCAGTAAAAAAGATCTTATATGCTGCAGATAATGATGCATCGGTGGTGGCAGAAGCACAAGCCATGCTGTCAGCTCATCACCAGAAGGAACCAGAACTCTTGAGTCCTATTGCTGAGGTGTCAACAGAGGAAACCAATAGTTCAGAGAATCAGAAGAGAAAGAATATTGTGAACCTGGACGTTGAGGCTGTTGGAATCACAACATTGTCACCAAGGCAAAGGCTTTCTGATGCTACTGATGTCCGTTGTAGTGGGTCACCTCTTATGACTTACTGATCATCTCTTGAATCCGGAACAGACATTGCATTAACAAATAGTTCTTTGCAAACATTTTGCCCCCTGTATCTACAATGCTGTTTTGATGTAACTGATGTTACTCAGCAAGTAATAGTAAGGACATGTATTCATTAGCTTATACTTTTAGCTTGAAAATGTTTTTTGAAGATTATTCTGCTTGTATTGTCATCTTAAAGAGGAGAAATTATGTTGCCTTTTCTGCATTAAGAAACGTTTACGGTCAGATCTTTGTTTGGCATGTTTTCTATCATGTTTCCTGTTAGGATTGAGGTATTAAACTAAAACGTGTCAATCATGTGTAACCAGATGTCCTACTGCCAGAAGAGAATGGTCAAGACATGCCAGAAATCTTTTCTATCTGACTTTCGGTCCCTATTCAATTTGATATTGCAAGCTATGCTATTTTAAGTGCCTTACCTAATGGTCGGCATATAAAAATCAAGCTGCAAAGATACATTCTGGAATAACTTAGCCCTTCTTCTGTACACCAGTTTTTGGCATTTCATATGAATCAAGGTTCACTGTCAAGGCTTTGGAAATGAAACCCCGAACTTGCCAGTATAGGGCCGGAGATTGATGGGCTTGAACCCTGAAGGTACAAGGGTGATAGTTGGAGTAAAGATTACCAAAACTTGACACATCATATGTGCTTCTCCAAGTGTGAATGACATGTCATTAGCAAGACCAAGAAATATTATGATGAGTTTACTTAGAAGCCTGGTAAATTACTAATTAGTCTAACAAACGAAATTGCATAGCAATATGTAATAGAATAGGGTGGCATTTGGTAGTGTTTCCACGACATAAAAAGGACCCCTTGTCGTCAGGCTATCTTATCGTCATTTGAAGACCACAAACTAATGGCTGACTCTCCTTGAAGGTAGAAAAAATAGGTGACAGATCTTCCAGTATAAAAACACAGAATACAAACATCCTCCTTAATATATTTCCAAATTTAAGATAACCACAGAATTTGTCACTGTCACGTTCAACATGGCCGCCCAACAAGCCATAAGGGTAGAAAATCCAGCAAACTTCCTCTCATGCATCCTCTATGCATTAATAGCATGAACAAAAAATCTGATTTTCTGTTTGATTGATGGTTTTTTTCTTATTCTTTCATTGTGCCAGGAGACGGAGGAGCTAAATGATAAACACATTGTAGAGAAAAGGGTGGAAACAATTGAGCACCGATCATCTCCAGGCCAACCCCAAGAGGTGAGGAGGGTGGAGGTGGTCCACCAGCCACAGCCAAGTAAAAATGCAAACACCACCGGCAAACTCTTGGAGAATGCTGCAGCTTCTGTGGTATCCACCCTTGATTCCGCCAAACAAGTACTCTCCGGGAAATGAAAGCACAACCTGCCGGAGCGTGAATGTTTGCACTTTGCACAATGTATTCAGCTTTGTTATTATTAAACATTGTTCACTTTTGCACGATTTTCTTTTCTTTCTTTCTTTCTCTTTTCTGGATCAATGTTTGGATATCGATTGACTTGTAAAGAAGCAGACAGTCATTACTAGCTAACCAGTCTGGTTTAAATCGTGCTGGTTAGTAATGTATCGGTAGAGATCCTCTGACACATTTTGGTTTTGTAATATTGGTACTTTGTCATAGATTTGAAGATGAAGCCCATGATCAGATGGTTTCCAACTTTTTATTGTGGTTTGGTTATTTCCCGCTACATTTGCTAGACAATAGCCAACCTGCTTAACTTCATCAAGAGATGATGAAACCTCTTAAGAAATTAGCTCTAATGTGTCTTAACACTAATTTTTCCTTTTCAAGTGCCCCGAGAAATTTAAGAGCGGTAATAAAAGGAAGACAAAAGGAGAAAGGGAAATCAAGGGCTGGCATCTTTCAGCTTGAGCCTAGACAATCATCCATGATCCGTAGGTCTGACCTTAGATGCCTTTTTTTGGTCTCCAGCATAAACCAAAATCATACTACGCCCAGAATCAAGGTTGTGACTGTTGATTAACATTGTCAGTGGAAAATGTCAGCATTCGAGCGACAGTTCTTCCAGGTTTGAAGAGAAAGAAGTGCACCTTTATCAATTTAGTGCTGTATGATAAATCCATCGCATCAGGTTCGAGTAGTTTTTTTTTAGATGTAGAGACTTTTTATTTGTCAATTTGTTTATCTATAAAATCTTAAAAAGTGTGAAACTTATCAAACCAAGGCGGGATTCTAAGTTTTTGTAGTAAAAGTAAGCAAGCTCCAACTTGGCTTTAGAAATGGCTGACTTTTCAGTTTTCAGTATAAATATGGGCTCTGATGTAATGAAGTTCTTTACGGATACGCAGATGAAGTTCTTCCAAATTTTAAGGAAGTTCAATCATCTTAATTTTCTTTCAACGAGAGGGTTAGTTCTTTCATCATTGGTCTGAGTTCTCGGAAATTTGTTGAACGTGTTCATAGTATTCTAGAAGTTCAGATTGAATGAGTTTCAATCTAGAGCTGTTCACTCTCTTGTTTCATCTGAGAGTTTTTGAAGTTACTTTACCTATTTTAATAATATCAAATTTCAACTCATTGCGTTTATAAAGTTTTCTAGAATTTCTAGAGTTTGGTATACCTCACCTCACACTCAGTTTCAGTTCCAAAAAGAATAAAACAGAAGAGTAATATAAGGGTACATGTTGACGTATTGACGTATATGGGACCCCGCTATGGTATTTCTTTTTTGCTACAACAAACAAAAGGAATCACAGCCACTCCAATTCTACAGGCCTGCAGCTTCAAACCCATGCAAGCATGAGAACAGCTACCACCGAAAGCAAATCAAAGCTAGTTTGCCTTTATTCTTCCACATCCATCCATAAGAATCTTATTCTCTTCCCACTGTATTCCTTGGATAACAACCCCTTTTGCTTGTTTCATATTGCATTAATTATGCAAGCCAATATTTCTCTGTCTCTAGCTTAAAATCTCTCCTCTGAATTCTGAAGGTCTGCACAAGTCCACTTTAATTATCCTCTTTTATTTCTCAGCCTGTAAGTTCAGCCAATTAGTATTTGTTTTTTTACCCTTCACATATTTGTTCCTTGCCTACCCTGTAGATTTGTTTGAACTAGGTGAAGAGATGGGCTTGGCCATATCTAGACTAGTGAGGATGCTTTTTGCAAAGAAGGAAATGAGGATTCTGATGGTGGGTCTAGATGCTGCTGGCAAAACAACAATACTCTACAAGCTGAAGCTTGGAGAGATTGTTACTACTATTCCTACCATAGGTAATCTCTTGTTCACCACTTGCCTGATATTTTAACAAAGATTTTTGACTACTCCTTCTCCATCCTAGAAAACAGTAGAGAAGGAAATTAAGAAATTGTATCATGCCTTTGAAAGCGTTAATAGGTTCATATTTGACTCATGTTACCATCTTCTCTTGCTTATTCGATTCCAAGTTTATTTAGCTCAGAGAATACAGATTGAAAGTAGAATCAAACAATAACAACTTTCAGTCATCATTTATCTGAGGCTTTAAGCCTCTTCAATGGATTATGAGACATAATTTTTCAAAGTAAATGAAAATTCAAACATGATGGCTTTGATTTTACTGTTTCGTTGATTGGTTTTTATGTGCAGGTTTCAACGTGGAAACTGTTGAGTACAAAAATGTTAGCTTCACTGTCTGGGATGTTGGAGGGCAGGATAAGGTACCAGGCTTAAATATATTCAAACAAAAATAAACGTCTGAATATATATTTAGTACCAGGGTTTTTATGAAAAACTTTTATACATGTAGCATATTCATTGTCCTCAGTTAATGTCATACTTATGTTATTTTGCACTTTCAGATGGAAAATGTTTTTCAGATGCATGATCGATTCTACAATGATGAATCGTTCTGTTAATTAGTAGATTGACTGCAATTCATATCTTTTTTTTTTTTTTACACAAGTTACTTTAAATTTTTGTTCTTCTACACTCTGCAGATTCGACCATTATGGAGACATTACTTTCAGAACACTCAGGGCCTTATCTTTGTGGTGGACAGCAATGACAGGGAAAGAATCTCTGAAGCCAGAGAGGAGCTGCATAGGATGCTAAGCGAGGTGGGTTTCATCTTCCTAGAGTTAAAAATGTTGCAATCAGTCTCAAAAGAAACGTAAAAATGGTCTTTGAAACCAGAAATCATACAAGCCACTTAAAAGGTTTTTGGCCACATTTGAATAGATGTTCACAGAAGTTACGATTTAGCTCTAACATGAAATTTGAACTGCAAGTGGCATTTTAAGGTCTTGACGTAACCCATGCAATGTGCTGTTGAATGCAGGTAGAACTACGTGATGCAACACTGCTTGTATTTGCCAATAAGCAAGACCTTCCAAATGCAATGAACGTTTCAGAAATCACTGATAAACTTGGCTTGCACTCATTGCGCCAGAGGCGTTGGTAATTTGCCTTCACTTCACCAATCCATTCTTCTGAGCCATTTTTGCTGCTAACTAAGCCATATATAGGATATGTAAATAATATGACTGCTGTCTTGAGTAGCCCAAGTTTCAAGTGACCACCTAATTAAGCAGAGCTACTGATTTTTCTAGGTCTTTTGGAATTTGAAATAAATAAATAAATAAATAAGCATTATAAAAATCCTGATCATCTGGGAATTAAAGCTGCCTAACCAGAGATTTTTCATGATTTTGCCACCACTATGCTTTGATTGGCTTTTTTCTTGGAACTTGTATTGTTAATTGTACAGGTACATTCAAGCAACCTGTGCCACTTCTGGCCAAGGACTCTATGAAGGTCTTGATTGGCTGTCCAGCAATATCTCTAGCAAGGCAAGTTAAACCATTAGTTAGCTTGGTGCACTAATTAACTCTAGATATTACTTCCACCGCTATTCAGTTACAGTTTCGTATCAACAAAATGCAAAAGATGTTCAATAGGATTAATCTGATATATCTGCATTGGCTTGCAGGCATAACCCAGCTTCTTGTCGAGGCTCCATCTCGATCAAGGCTTCTAT